AAAAAAAGGTTGTTCAGAGAATTATATATTACATATATAATAAATATGTATCTGGGTTATTTTCTCATTTATATATATGACATTGTTATTGCGATGTCATAACACCTGAAACATTGGAAATGACATTATGATAACTAAATTTTAATAACTTCATAACTTATACTCAACTCTTAATAAATAGCATGAATATATTTTGAGTGAATTAATTGATGTTAATGTGTAGATTACAATCCCATCCCGTCTACGATCTTAAAAAAAAAGAAAATATGCAATTTTCCAACTCAAAAAAGGGACATCAAACTGAAAATTAAATATTATTCTATATGTAAATATAAGTTAATTGAAATACGTGTTTTACGTAAATAAACATTGAAGTCCATATGTTGGATTGCCGTTAGGCCTTACTGTGTATTAATTGTATATGTAAAGAAGAAAGAAACACGTTGAAACGCTTGAAGTTTCAATTTTTTTCAAAGGCCGATGTGGTCAAAACTGATTATCTAATTCCGTAATAGTAGACAATAGACTTCTTGTTCCAATGTTCAAGCTGGTTTTAGGAAAGGCTACTCTACAACTGAAAATATATTTATCCTTCATGGTTTAATATCTATATACGTTTCAAAAAGTAAAAAGCTATTCTGTTCATTCATTGATTTCAGAAAAGCGTTTGAAACTGTTTGGAGGGTAGGTTTATGGAAGAAATTATTAAAGAATCATATCACAGGAAAGATATTAAGGCTATAATAAATCTGTATGAAAACACTAAATCTTGCGTAAAAACTAGCAATGGTATGACTGATTTTTTCACATGTCACGTCAGGGTAAAACAAGGTGAAAATCTCTCCCCAGTTTTGTTCTCAACATATTTAAATGTTAAATATTTGAAAATATATAGACCATATCATAATTTTGTTAAGAACAGCTATTATACATAATACATTAATAAATTAAAACAAACTATCACATGTGCCAATCCAGAGAGCAGGTGATTGGGACAGCCCCTACCTAATAAACTCTTGGATTTTTTCCTTACATATTAATTACAATAATAGTTAAAAGGTTTCTTTTACATTTACTGCCTTAAAACATGATGTCTTTAAAAAAACAATAACAATGGTGATAAATAAAATGAATAATTTCCTAGTTCTGCATTGTAGTGAAATTTAGATTTCCAAGGGTTGGGGAGCCTTCTACCAGCGAGGTCTGCTAAATTCACACTAACTAGTAGCTAATTATAATTTAAACGGAAGATTATTTTCATAAACAAATGTTTCTGATTGACACCTGGTATCATATTTAACAAATGCATAAAATAGAAAATGTAATTGTATATGATATTCAGCCTAAAATGACTTACAAGACACTGTTTAAAATTATTACTAATCACATAGACTGCTACGTCTTCTGTACATATTATATAAGTGGTTTGCAAGTGGGATTTGTAATTCCTCGGAAGACATTATAAAATTAAATTATAATATATATATTTACCTGTAATTGTGATTTAGATTCAGTACCTGTATCACGGACTTAGATGACAATCTAATTCCGTGCCTGTATACACCTCATTAGTGTACCTTCAGGAACTTGGATTGTTAAGTGCCCGGGGGCACAGAGTCGGGATATTTGCCCGAGTCCAGAATGGAGCCGTACTCCAGATAACAGATTTCTGTTATTTCCTAATTAGTGTCACAAACGCAGGGTTATTAAAAGTATATTTCAATTCAATTCAATTTATTTCCGTAAGTTTTACAACTTATAGGATTTTCAAAAAATAATTTCATATAAGAGCAACTTATAATTACATATAACTGGCACATTCATCACAAATCAGTGGCAACATGAACATCATCGAAATCATAGATCATCGCTTTCATCATTATTATCATCATCATCATCGTAGTGGCCGTCGTCGTCGTCTTATAACTCATCATCATGAAATAATCATCTCTTTAAATCAACATCAAATACTACATCACCATCCTCCTCCTCCTCCTCATCATCATCATCATCGTCAAAGTACAACAACCTGACATAATTACATGAATTTCATAAAACTGGTACCTTTTTTACAAATCACCGATATGATTGAAATCATTACCACTTTCAACATCATCATCATCATCATCATCATCATCATCAAAATATCAATTCATCATCATCATCATCATCATCATCATCATCATCAACAACAACAAAAAAATGTTGAGCATTTACCATCTTAAACATGAAAGATTGTTCGAACAAAACATGGACATGATACGATTGAGTAATACAAAATTACGTAAAACAAACTTATAAGTTAAACATTCCTTCGTTTGTTAACTTCAATAATAAATTTACCTAACATATTTACTAATTCGATAGGTTTGAATACAGATGGTTTTTGCCGGTACTAATTTTTAATATATTTTCTCCTTAGATCTAGATGACGTGGGCAGGTAAATAGAAAATGAAATTCATCTTCTATCTCTATTAGGTCACAGTTACTGCAATATCTATTTTTCCTTGCAACATTCCTGTATCTTCCCGTTTCTATTGCAAGATTGTGAGCTGACATACATAATTTGGTAATCATAATTCGACGTTGTTTTGTTATAAACTTTGTTAAATAATATTGCAACATCGCGGTATCTAGTATTTTGCTTTCGGATGATCAAAGATGTATATATTACGTAATGTAATATATACGTCTCTGGATTGATGTATAAGAAGCGTAACGTAATTCCTTTTATTAATCTATTTAATTTTTACATTGATTAATGACAACCTACTCATCTACCCTTCATAAGATTGGTCAGGGAACTATATCTGGAAAAATATCTAGCTTGTCCAAAACGGACTATCTGTGAGTTAATCAAGTAATTGAAAGGACTTCGAATCATATACAATCCATATACTTTTTGAATTTCATAATATTTGAGTATCTAATTTAACTGAAGGTTCTTCTCCAGCATTGTTATATAATTGATACTGTTATGTTTAACAAAATTGAATAACTAACATTTTTGAAAAGTAATTTCAAATTTTCTAAATATTTCCTGTTGAATTTATATATATGATCTTAATAACACCATTTTATGACATGAATAGAATTAATATAGTATCATGTAATTGCAATTCTTTTATCAAATATATCTTATACCTGATAATGATACTTAAATGTATCTAATATATATATTCATTAATGTTCCTGCCTGTTCCTCTAAATCGTCGAACCCCTAGTCAAGGCATTTCGGTGATGTTTTCTGCACCAAATCGCATATTTCCAGCATAGCATGTGACATATAAAAGTAAATAACTTCAAGAAATATGATATTTCACAGTAATAAAGAAGTATTTGGTTCATAACTGGGTCGTACGGGGTAGTATTGGGTGGTATTGGGTAGTATTGGGTGGTATGAGCACGGACTTAGATCTAATCTAATTCCGTGGTATGGGGTATAGTATTGGGTCATAGTCACGGCAATTCGGTGATGTTTTCAGCACCAAATCGCATATTTCCCAATAAAATATGGCAGATGGAAGTAAATAACGTCTACAAAGGTGATATTTCAAAGTAATAAAGAAGTATTTGGTTCATAACTGGGTCGTATGGGGTAGTATTGGGTGGTATTGGGTGGTATTGGGTAGTATTGGGTAGTATTGGGTAATTAGACGCGCCGATTGATTCACATGCCTAAAATATATTCAACGTGTTTCATGTTTTTACTTTCATGAAATTTAATTTCAATATATAGCAAAATTAAAATGCTTAAAACATGGTTAGAATCAATGTTAACTCATATTCGTCTCTCAATGTCAATAATGGAGAATAGAGTGAATTTAAAACATATTATTACAATATGAAACAAGGAACCTATCAATAATGAGATCAGTTTCACCAGGTAACATCACACTGTCAATCGGGTAAATGTTGGTAGGTAGATCTATCACCTCAAGCTCTAGCAATCAGGTATCACTAATGATCCCAAGCAGGGGTAAGTTGTGACACTGGTCATAGACTAATACCATACTTGTGTACGTATTTACAGGACTTTTTATGAAACGGTAGCGAAATGTAATTTATAAGTGAAAACTTCATATGTCCTGAAAAAACTTGTGTCAATTGTCCCGAAACGACTGTGGGACTCCCGAAACTACCTGTTACCGAAACGACTAGCATTCAGTCTGTCAAATCCCCCTGAAGAGGGCCCAGAATTGACATCTATTATATATATATATCATATGCTCTGTACATACTCTGAGCTTTACTTTTTATTGGAAAGATGACTTTATATACAGTAGTACAATTCCCCATCAGACCACTGATATATATATTACTGATCAATATTATTAAAAATGTTAAATGTAAATTGGCCAACATTTTCCAGGATAATGGAATTAAATTATATTCTGTGCCAAAATGAATAAAATTTTGTTTTTGTTTTAACTTAATAAACTATTTGCAGAAATGTTAATTTAGAGCAATTTCTAACTTTTACAATGATTGATAATTGAAAATCATGATCGATAAGTCAAAGTCTGAGGTAAATTGACTTGATAAATATTGCTTAAGATACCTCCCTTAACAAAATCTTCGACCACGAAGACACACAATTTAGGAACTCTATACCACTTTCAGTGGGTATATTTCGCTGAGCGCTAAATTTGTAACAGGAGAAAGAGAGCCCAGGGTTCGAACCCCGGACCCTCCAAACTCTAGACAGACGCTCTACTAATTAAGTAAATATTGACAATTACCAGGAATCTCTTTTTGTTTACAGGTCAGAGGCTGCGACTGGAGTCTGTTCCGCTAGCTACTGCTGCTGTCATTTACCACAAGTTTTTCAAGGAAAATTCCTTACACGACTATGATCCTTATGTAAGTATGAAGTAATTTAGCACTATAGAAAGTTTCTGTCTCATTATCTGGTAATCATCATTTTCCTGCTCTTTTTCTGTAACAGATCTAGATCTAGAGGTGACATTCTTGTTTTATGGTTTGTTAAAAAGCTCACCAAAAATATATCATTCTATCAGTTGGTAAGTCTTCATATAGGGATTGAATGGATTTTTTAAAGCACTCCTCGGAAGATAGGTAGATCATGCTACTGCTATTCATTGCCTTAGTGTACATGAAAACAATTCCATTCAATTCATATATTTACGTTACCATGAACTACAATAAGAAAAGTTACAACACTTTTTGTAGATTTAATATTTTCAATATTAGTATCGGTCAGAAAACCATAAAAAAGGAACAGCCAGAACTCCAGCCTACACACAAACTTCAAGTGTTTGGCTTCCGCAGATCAGCTGATTTTGTTGAAACGAAAATACATATCTAGAATCTAATAATAATTATAACCAACACTTGATATTCCTTTCAGTTTTGAGGGGTTTTTTTCGCATTAAACACTGCATATTATATATTTTAAAAAGTTTATGTCCGCACTATTTCAAATCATCGGTCACCATACGTTAACCATCCGAGGCACTCGTCGGCCGAGCACCCGTCGGCAGTATGCATAGAGCTCATTTGAAGTTAAATGTACAGTCGTTTACTGTACTGTTTAACAAAAAACCTGCATATGTAAATGATAAGTTGGTGGATGAAGTGCCCTGTGTCATTACAAAGTTCTCTGAATCTAATGTGCAAGTTGATGTCGTGGGGATTACCCAGCCAGACGTTTTGGGTGTTAGAAAGTTTGTGACCATGAAGAACCAATTGTGAGTTGGAAGTCAGTATTTAACCCACTCACCCCTGAAGACACATTTGAACACTTTCAATTCAAAGGTTGGAATAGTTCACTATGAAATTTCAGGGGTGAATGAGTTAATATGACAATGTTTTAAGTGTTATGTTTTTTCGTTTTAAATTAAATCAGAAAGGGTAATACTAATAGTACAATGGTGTACCATCCATGATTTTTGTAATGTTTATTATTATTTCTCACAACTACATGCATTATATGCTATTTTATGCGAACGAAACATTTCAATCAGTTTATGTATTTGTAGACAATAGCCACAACTGCAATATACCTGGCAGGAAAAGTGGAAGAACAACAACTGAAACTACGAGATGTTGTGAACGTCTGTTACAGGTATAACGTCTGACAACAAGTATTGTTGGTGACAATGATATTCTGAGTTTATCAAAATAAAGTTTGAACATCTCTGTAGAAAACTACTGAAAAATGTTAGCTATTATGTTTAAAATAATTACAAAGTCAGTGTGCTAAATTGTTTCTGAAACTTTAAGTTAATTGGTGATTTTGAAAAATATTTGTATCCAAATTAGACTGATATTTTAGTTTTGTAGGAAAATTACGGTTTATGATTTAGATTAATAGAATTATGTTCAAAGCATCTATATGTTATTATTTGATTTGAAAAATGAGATTCCGTGATAGAAATTGAGGTTACTTCCCTTTGACTGGTACAATGTTACTCTTTCTGGAAAATCTCGGGTATAAGGAAAACAAAATGACAAATGATGTTAAATTCACAGCAAAATAATTTACTTAGATAGTGTTACAATTCCAGAGTGACATAGATAATGTAAATTATGTAACAAACACATGCGAAAAGGCTAAACTAACAGACAAATAGCAAAAAATGTCTATCCCACATAAACAATGACAATAATGCAAACACAAACCCTGGATCATACAGTAACTCACAGAAAATAAGTAAAAAATTCATTCAAGGACAAACATTGCAAAATTTCAGGCAAAGAATATAAAGAACTTTGATAAATAACCTTACCAAAAGTTAGGTAACAGTCCTGACAAATAAGGTAAAGTTGCTGACAAAAAAGGTAACATTCCTGACAAATTAGGGTAAAGTTGCTGACATATAAGGCAACATTCCTGACATATAAGGCAACATTCCTGACAAATCAGGTAACATTCCTGACAAATAAGATAACATTCCTGACAAATAAGGTCAACATTGCTGAAAAATAAGGTAACATTCCTGACAAATAAGGTCAACATTGCTGACATATAAGGCAACATTCCTGACAAATCAGGTAACATTCCTGACAAATAAGGTCAACATTGCTGACAAATAAGATACATATATTGACAAATAAGGTAACATTCCTGACAAATAAGGTCAATATTCCTGACAAATAAGGCAACATTGCTGACAAATAAGGTCAACATTCCTGACAAATAAGGTAACATTCATGACAAATAAGATACATATATTGACAAATAAGGTAACATTCCTGACAAATAAGGTCAACATTCCTGACAAATAAGGTCAACATTCCTGACAAATAAGGCAACATTGCTGACAAATAAGGTAACATTCCTGACAAATAAGATCAATATTGCTGACAAATGAGATACAGATATTGACAAATAAGGCAACATTCCTGACAAATAAGGTCAACATTCCTGACAAATAAGGTCAATATTGCTGACAAATAAGATACAGATATTGACAAATAAGGTACCATTCCTGACAAATAAGGTACCATTCCTGACAAATAAGGTAGAGTTTCTGACAAGTTAAGGTCCCTATAAGTAAGTTACCTACATACTAAGCTCCTGTGTGACATGTGCTGATGTTTTGTATGTAGGACACTACATAAGAGTAAGCCTCCGCTGGAGATGAGCGACAAGTACTGGGCCCTGCGGGATTCTGTAGCCAGCTGTGAACTGTTTGTCCTTAGAATGATGAACTTTAAAGTGGTGTTTGACCATCCACACAGAGTAAGTCCCTGTACAATGTCAGCATTCACGACTGGTAAGTTCTGGAGACAGAGATGTTAACCTGAGCCTGATACTGTTTGTCTACAGAACTTGTCTACTGTAAGCATCTTCTGATGATATTTTTTTTACAATGTCTTGTTTCATTTCCAGTTTGAATAATGGCCGAGAGAGATCAATAAATGTATAAATTAATCTGAATCCTTGAGATAAGATTTGTTTAAATCTTGGCACTAAGCCTCCAAACTGTTACAATCAAGATGAGATTTTTCCGTCTAACATCTTACGGGAGTAAAATATCATTTTAAGCTCACCTGCCCATAAGGGGCAGAGGAGTGGGGTCGAATAGGGGAAATAGAGGTAAAACCTTTAAAATCCTTCTTCTACCATAAGAATTAAGGGATTTTATTCGTATTTATTCTGGAGCATTCTTGGTCCAAGGGGTCTCAATTTTGTATAAAAGGGTGGGTGTGGGGCAGAGGGGCAGGACCCAAAATGGGAAATAGAGATAAACTTTTAAAATCCTTGCATAGGGATAAAGGGGTTTTATCCTAATTTAGTCTCGAGCATGCTTGGGCCAAGGGGACTTGATTTGTATAAACAGTGGGTGTCGCCCCCCCATCGGGAAGAGGGGTGGATCCGAATAGGGGAAGTAAAGGTAAACCTTCAAAATGCTTCTTCTATCATAGGGATTTCATCCCAATTTAGTCTGAAGCATCCTTATAGGTCAAGGTGACTTAATTTTGTATAAATGGTTGGTATGACTCCCAGGGCAGAGGGGCAGGGCCCAATAGGGGAAATAGAGATAAAATTTTCATCTACCGTAGGCATTACAGGATTTTATCCCAATTTTGTCTCCATCAAGTTGTCTAGTAGTGCCTGTTACTATATATGTTTTAAAACAAGATGGCCACCATGCCGCCATCTTGGATTTTGATTTTTGATGTTTGTTTACACTATATCTCGAGAAATACTGAATGGATCTTTCTGAAATTTAATATGTCCATAGAATACCTACCATGAAGCGCTATGTCTTTACCTATTATCAAGAACTTTAAACATATCCAAGTAAGTGATACAGGGCCTCTGGGCGTCTTGTTTAAAACTTTTCCATTTACTGACTAAATGGTGTACATGAAAGTAGGCAAATTCATCATCTCAGACCATGGTATTTGGTTGATTGCGTTGACAAATGATACAGGCAGCATTTTGGTAGATCTTTATTTTTAGTCCAACTTAAAAAATAAAATTAACACATGTAATACATTTTTTGACTGTTGCAGTACCTTCTACATTACCTGAAGTTCATCAAAGACTGGTTTGAGCCTTATCGATGGGAGGATTTGCCAATAGCTAGAACAGCTTGGGCACTACTACGCGACTGTTACCATGGCAGTGTCACGCTGAAATACAAACCAGATCATATTGCAGTGGCCATTTTATATATGACACTACAATGTCACGGAGTGGATGTTCCTTATCACTACCAGTCAGATACTCCATGGTGGAAGGTAAGTACTTCAGCAAATCGGGAAGTCTGTCATAAAAAAATGTAGTTATAGGAATACTTACAACAAGTTATTTCTGAGTCCATTCCATATAATGCTGGCGAGGGAGGAGGTCACAGAAGTGAGCCAAGAAAAAGATACATGCATATTTGATAGTGATCAATTTCCCAAAAAAGCACACCCTGCCCTGCCTGCCACATGATGTTTTATATTTCTGGAATAGCCCTCTTACATGACAGTTTACTTGGTGGCATTTGGTCTTATAAAAAGATTGAATCTTGCATCCATTGCTTACATTGCGTGTATATTACCATCATGACAGATAATTTCCTTCACGTATGAATGTGTTGTACCCGCTTAATTGTTCCAACTCATGCATGTATTTCACTTTGTGTATATATATATGCTTCACCAGTCATATTTCTGGTGAAGGTGACAGAGTGTATATCCTACTAGTCATCAAAACGTCACACATCAACACTTCACTGGTCGTGCTGTATGAACCTTTCTACAATTCAAGTGTTGTCTCAAAGTTTACCTTGATATCAAAAGAAATAACTCCTGTTTTGTAGGTGTTTACCGAGGACGCTACAATAGGAAACTTAAAGGATATCATGAGTGACCTTATTGACATTTACGATCTGGAAACGTCTGTGCAACCATGAAGATTGGATTAGATCTTTTGCCTTGAGAAAAAAGATGTCATTGTTGCTTGGGTTCTACAACAAATTCATTCGACTGAAGTAATTATCACGAAGTTCCGAATTTTTAACAGACAGGAGTGTCGATATAAAGCTCAGGCCTGCTTCCTGTGGCAACCCCAGTGGATCAACATCACCAACCATCAAGTTTCTACTTACGACAGACAGCCATGTCAGCATAAATAGAGCACAGGCCTTGTTTTCTGATAGCTCCAGTTGACCTATAGATGTCTAAGACGTACAGGTTTCTAGCTTGTGATCAGAAGATGTGTGTCCACAACATATACATCAGGTATTGCTTCTGGAAACTCCAGCTGAATGTAATAGACTGCTAAATTCCTAACTTGTGACAGACAGTTGTCTAGGGATATACTTCAGACCTTGTTTGTAGTAGCTCCAGTGTATGAACCATCAAGTTTCTAACTTGTGACAGACAGTTGTCTAGGGATATACTTCAGACCTTGTTTGTAGTAGCTCCAGTGTATGAACCATCAAGTTTCTAACTTGTGACAGACAGTTGTCTAGGGATATACTTCAGACCTTGTTTGTAGTTGCTCCAGTGTATGAACCATCAAGTTTCTAACTTGTGACAGATTGATGTCTAGGGATATACTTCAGACCTTGTTTGTAGTAGCTCCAGTGTATGAACCATCAAGTTTCTCACTTGTGACAGACAGTTGTCTCAGTATATACTACAGACCTTGTCTTTGGAGAACACGTTTTTTCTGAAACCCAGTTAGTCGGAACAAAGAAGAATTAATAACACCACTGTGTACATCTATTGGTTATCTGATGATGTGAAAATTCAGATAAATGCATTGATCATTGCTGAAAATACGGTGGATAAAATTGCTATAAGCAAGATAATTCTGACTGAAATATCATTTATATATATGTGCTTTTAAGTGTTTTTTTTTAAAAAATCAAATAACTCATTTCAATATTGGGTGTTGATACGTTGAAACCATCACTTCAGGTAAAATGTACATTGAACCAGTTATATGTGCAAATAAGAGTTACATCGCAGAGCTGTTTTCAACTTAGCATTGTCTTCTATTTGTCATTATAGAAGACTGAAGATAAAGCAACATTAAAGAAATATTTTCTTTGTTAAAATTAATTTCATTGAAAAAGACATTACCTCTGTTATTTCAGTTATAAGTGAAGGTTCAGCCGTGGACTGTAAACGATCACTATACATATAAACTTGCTGACAATATTTCCATCGCACAGCATTTATTTGCAGTCATTTGTGAGGTGCCACAAAGCTGAAGAATTATGAAAACAATTTGTTGATAATACCCTCAAATGCTGAAGTGAAATTAAGACTGAATAATATTACAAAGAAATATCAATTTACAGTAAACTATCCTGGGTTTTAAAATGTATAGATTTTCTTTATATTTTAATAAAAAAAAAAGAAGATAGAATTCTTTTTACTTTTTTTTCGAAATGATCATTGCATTGCGTTAACTCCTTTTAAGAATTACAGGAGATTAGGGATATTAATTTTAAAGTGGGCATAAGATTGATTCTTTGCATATATGAATGATAAGAAAGTTGGTCAAGGTCATTCATTTGAACAAACTTGGTAGCCCTTCATCCTAGCATGATACAGGCCCAATATCAGTACCCTGGGCCTTTTGGTTATTGAGAAGTCATTTGAAGATTTTATGACATCTGACCCCAGTGACCTTGAAAGTGGGTCAAGGTCATTCATTTGAACAAACTTGGTAGCCCTTCATCCCAGCATGCTACAGGCTAAATATCAGTTCCCTGGGCCTTTTGGTTATTGAGAAGAAATTGTTGGAAGATTTTGAGACATTTGACCCCTGTGACCTTGAAAGTGGGTCAAGGTCATTCATCCCACCATGCTACAGGCCAAAAATATCAGTACCCTGGGCCTTTTGGTTATTGAGAGGTCGTTTGAATATTTTAACATATTTGACCCCTGTGACCATGGAATTGGGTCAAGGTCATTCATTTGAACAAACTTGGTAGTCTTTCATCCCAGAATGCCACAGGCCCAATTTCAGTACCCTGGGCCTTTTGGTTATAGAGAGTTTGTTTGAAGATTTTAAGACATTTGACCCTGTGACCATGGAAGTGGGTCAAGGTCATTCATTTGAACAAACTTGGTAGTGTTTCATCGCAGCATACCACAGGCCTAATTTCAGTACCCTTGGCCTTTTGGTTATTAAGCAGAAGTTGTTTGAAGATTTTGAGACATTTGACCCCTGTGACCTTGAGAATTGGTGAAGGTCATTCATTTGAACAAACTTGGTAGCACTTCATCCCAGCGTGCTACAGGCCCAATATCAGTACCCTGGGCCTTTTGGTTATTGAGAAATCGTTAGAATATTTTAACATATTTGACCATGGAAGTTGGTCAAGGTCATTCATTTGAACAAATTTGGTAGCCCTTCATCCCAGCATGCTACAGGCCCAATATCAGTACCCTAGGCCTTTTGGTCATTGAGAAGTCGTTTGAATATTTGAACATATTTGACCCTGTGACCATGGAAGTCGATCAAGGTCATTCATTTGAACAAACTTGGTAGTGTTTCACATCAGCATGCCACAGGCCCAATTTCAGTACCCGGAGCCTTTTGGTTATAAAGCACAAGTTGTTTGAAGATTTTAAGACATTTGACCCCTATGACCTTGTAAGTGGGTCAAGGTCATTCATTTGAACAAACTTGGTAGCACTTCATCCCAGCGTGCTACAGGCCCAATATCAGTACACTGGGCCTTTTGGTTATTGAGAAGAAGTTGTTTAAAGTAAAATATTGACGCCGGATGGCGGCCGGCTGACGGACACCACGCCATGACATAAGCTGGTGAGCTAATAAGCTATGGACACTACAGAGGTTGCTTACTTCAGAATTAAGAATAGACCAAGGCCGCTACAGCGGACAACAAGGCTATGGCATCTACATTGGTTATACTTCAAAAACGGCTTAAACAGATGTAGTACAATATGTCAATGACGGCATTAACGTTTATTTCCTTAGATATGCAAGTTGTTGAAGATTTATGGGCATCTACGATCACCAGCCCCCAACACCAAGGCTTAGGGTCTATATGTGTAGCAAGTCGCAAATTAATGGCCGTAGGTCAGTGGTTTTTCTCCAGGTACGTATACTCCAGCTTTCCTCCACCACCAAAACCTGGCATGTCCTTAAAGGTGACCCTATATAGCTGTTAATGTTAAACACAAACCAACCCTATGCTTGGATGAGTTACACTACATGAATGAACAACATCAAGTACCAAAATATGAACTAACAACACAAATCAATTAAGGTTTTACTGATTTTATTACTGCACATTACAAATGACAGCAGTTTATGAAGCTGCTAATTAGGGCAACCCAAATAATGTCTTAGTTCATTGTTACACGAGCCTTGAAGACTGTTTTACAACCAGTGTTTGGGCCAGTGAGCATTGAAAACCTGAGAGGTGAGGTAACAGCCACAGCAGTTAAGTGCTAGAACTCTTGGAGTCAATTTTAAATATGGCATGTTCTACATAGTTTGTACATTCCAAAATATCTATTGAATAGGACATTAATGTTCTTGATGAAGAATAGTAGAAGAAACCACTACTTTGGCTTTTTTAAACCTGGGTCACCCAATCGTTCCAAGACAAATGATGAATTGCAGAATCAAATATTATATTAAATGGTGGCTGGTCGGACAACTTGATTGTAAAACATTTCAACTTAGTGTTATGTGTTAGTTATAAAAAGTCTAGCCTGTGTACCTGTCACATATATATATATATATATACATAAGTACATACACTTTTGTTATCAAATCCGTCTGAAAACCATCATTAATAGATTGACACTTAATATATATTTAAAAGAGTCGATATATATGCCATTTTTACAATTTTGATTCCAGTTTTCCCCCGATTATCATATAAATAACACTACATATTGTACGCATATTTCACTATGGATCAAGTATCAAATTGAAATTTAAGCTTTTTATTAACCTGTACAATTTCAACAGAGTTCATGAATGTACCGCTTTCTATACATGAAGTTGCTTTTGTGACAATGTTGAAATACAAATACTTAAAATTCACATTTGCACCTCAACCAACTTTATGCATACTTTTTGAGTAATACAGAATATCAAAACTGGATCCAACTGACAAACAGGAAAACTAAAACCACATGCAAGTGTTCTAATGGGGGTTGCATTAGTTGGTCATATAATAATCATTCTGAATTGATCAAGGGATAGAAGTGTTAGCCTATCAGTTATAAAACTGATTTCTGATCAATGAAGTAAATGCTCCTAAAGTGGTGAAGATTAAGAACACAGATATTCTGCTATGAAAAGTCAGCTCTTATTACAATAATAAATAATGAAAGTGCAATTTTACAATGAAAGACCGATATTTAACATAATTTTTTGTCAAAATCATATATTACATATATGAAGATGGACCTGACAAAGTTACCGGTAGGAGTTCTTATCAAAATTCTTGGGCAGAATTAAGCCGAATCTGCAAAGCCTCTGGAAAAAATGACCTGTTTTTAACATGGAGTGAAAAGTGTTGAGATTCCCACAACCAGCATGGTAGATATGGGTAAGTTTTGTGAGCAATGCCGATACTCTATAATAATATAAACGGAGCATAGGAGATACTACAGGGTAATCCTGGGTACTAGGTACCTCTGGACTGCAAGTTACCAAACATAGTTGGAAAGTTAAGCACATCACTCGACATAGCTATATATATATATACACACACAATCAATGATGGTGTTCGAAAAATGCACTTCAAAATTAATACACATTGATATCATGAAGAAAATATACAATGATTAAGTGTATAGCATTATAATTGGTACAACGATGTGTGAAGAAATGTACATTCTTCTGAATTTTGACAACTCCAGACATTCCTTCAAACAATTGTACCTAATTTACTCTGCATGTTTTTATATATATGCCATGTTGACCTAAATACAGTATATATATGTAATGGAGGTTTATGGAGGACATTTAGTATATATGTATATACATGTACATGTATGTTGCGTCATAAATAGGTATATCTGGGACAGTCTTTATAACGAGTGACGCGGACAATGTATGCGAGACACTAACAATGTATACGTTACAATGCCCAGTTATTTTGCACTACAAATATGATATGTCTCTTCTTCGAAATAATGTCTGTAAAAATTTCCTAAAATATTGATGACATTGCAAAGAAAAGAAAAAAAGTGCATTTATTATACCATCTATATAAACGAAAATCTTTAAAAATGTTTAAAATTACTCGTGTATATAAAATTTCATTAACTGCCAGCTGAACATAAATCCTACCTAAATTTAATAAAAGATCAAGTAAATTTAAGCTGTCATAAAATCTTTTATTGAATTTGTGAAAAACACAAATCAACATTTTCTGTGAACGGTAAAATCTTCTTTATATTAAAATGTGTATATACCAATTAGTATTAAAAAGTATGAAGAAAAATTCTTTCTTTCATTTATAAAAGCTAAGTGAATCAAAGATACCAGGGTACACGTACAGGATAGTATGAAAAAAGTCTGAAGCATTGAAACAATTCTGTTTCCTTCCTTCACAATCTCATTTTCGTTTCTCAATAATGTGACATAAAAATAATAAACAGACTTCACAATAACAACCTTTGTTAATATATTAACAGCATCAATAAGCCAAATTACGAAAAACTGAGTGTCCCATGTAATACAATGTGGACTATAAAAACAGTATTTTAAAAGCTAGATGTGGTTTACCTACCTAGACCAATTTTTAATATGACTATTTCGTAATTTTTATTACGTTAACATTTTGTTTATATTAATAGTTTCAGAAATAGTTCCAAAAAGTTGGAAGCAAAAATAACGCTGCCACTTTTCTTTATTTCAAATCAGAAATAATTCAGTATCATTATACGGATAAAGGGGCATTAAAAAACTGAAGTGGGAACCCTTTATTTTTTACTTTGAGACATTGGGGCCAGATTCTTGTTAAAAAACATTCTGAAATAAAAGAAAGAAAAAGTATGATATTGTAATTTATTTATCTACTGATCAGAAGTGACCAGTGTTGACCAGTGGTGACGAGCTCAAGTGGTCCCACACTTCAGAAAACAAACATCCTTTTAACATGTTTTTGAAACACATGATACCAAGAGAAATTGGACTTCATATAACACACAGACATGCACTCCTACATTAATTATGTACCATAACAATCATACGTAACAATTTAACAACCAGACACTCTGTTCTGAGTCACAATTTTAATTTCTTGTGACGATTATAATAACTGTGCTCCGACATAACTCTTAATGATGTTTTGTTGAAGTCATTTTAGACCCTGAGATCACTTTGATAAAGTTGTTGAATTCCACCATTTACTGTTAGCAAGCAGCTGGTACACTTTAGTACTAATAATGTGATCCAATCCATACAAGTCTGTATACCAAACAACAGTTTTATTGAATTACAATGTAGCAAATTTTATACATAAGTAAATTTATCCGACCAAAAAAAATAAATCCAACTGAATTGAAATCAAGAATTATTCAAACACCTCAAAGAAATCCTTTTCTCAAAAATGAAGAAATTGTTGACATTTAACTCATTCACCCCTGAAGACACATTTGAACTCTTCCAAATCAAAGGTTGGAATAGTTCATTATGAAACTACAGGTAAACCAGATTTATAGTTTCTGATCATGATCACCTAATGACAAAAACTTCCTCTTCATTCAAACTGTTTATGATGATGCCCAATGCAAACTTAAATTGACACTCAAAATCGTGGACATAAAACAGATAAATTTAGAAGACTTTTGCTACTCACTGGCACTAAGGCAAAACCGTAATATACAGTATATCACATATTCAGTTGCAACAAACACAGCACTAATTAAGATTACAAACGTGCAAGTTTTGAATTTTGATTGTTTCTATCAGATGCTGGTGCACACTGGCTTCAGGAATGAATGCCTTTGCAAGTTACAACACCATTGGCTGATCAAAGCCACATGAATTGTAAGACAACATTAATAGTTTGTCCGACTAATAGGCACTGTGGTAGATTTCCCTGCCCTGTGTCCTCATTGTTATACACACAATCAGACAAATACTGTGACCCTGTGGAACACTTACATTCTGTAGTGTAATCCAATGACACACTTCCATCAGAGGTGCACACACATTAAAAATATATGCTACCCGGTACCTTTCTTGTGCAACTCCATTCAAAAGAGTACCACAACGAGAAAAACTGTAAAAACAAAACTGGATATTTGGATTTGGTTAGTCGGTTAACATCGTGTTACAAAAGTACCGTTATACAAGAATACACTGCTAGCGATTGGGTAATTGTGACGCGTAAGATGTGAATTAACTAAGATATCTTTAACCTATAGCAGAGGTACATATACAATGTGTTAAGTAGCATTTATCGTTAACGTCTGACCCTCAATATCATAAACAAAATATCATAATTAATATATAACAAAAAGGAGCGATAGGTAGACATTTATTACTGATAATCGTGTTTTCTAAAATGAGTAGTTCGCAATGAGCCCTACTGGACAAAAACAAGAAAACAAAAAAAACTGAGCAAGCAAGTCACGATACACCAACTGGCCTGGTCTAGATCAAAATTAAAACTCAAAATTATCAATCATCAGGTTCGATTACAACAGCCCACAGAGTCATTCATTCACAACTAACTTTGTTCAAGTTAATATATAATATCACATATCACAAAACCATTACCATTTAAACAAGTCTCGGGGGTAACAAAGCCCTTAGTCAACACTCATGAAGGTTTAAAGGTTTAAAAGGCCAAAAAATGTGTGTTAAGCGTTACAAACCTTAATACTCGGTAGTACCGGTGCTGTACATGTACAGTTGGTAACTTGGTAGATAGAAAAGTCACAACTTTATTTGTATCAATGTTGAGTCTTTTTATAAATATTTTAACCTTATTCAGACACTGACAACAGATTTTGCTTAAGACCATTTATTTATATATCATATCAAGTCAAATGCTTGTTCCAGTCTACTCAGCTGTAAATGAGTATGTGGTTGGGCAGTGCAAGAAATGTAAAATGCTATAGCTGTTAGCCATTTAGCGCCGAAATGGCAGCACTGGATGTATGCTTCCCAGGGAGTTGAGAAAGATATTGGCTGGTGGCAAAGGCCCTATAACCACGGATAATTAATTTGTGAACCGCTTTGAGACAACCTACGAACTAGGTTGTGATAAAGCTGTATAAGAACCTCGAATTATTATTATTGAATACACTAAATTTCAATGGTGAAAGATATCTATTTTATTGTATTTTTTAAACCTTCTAAAAAATCAGCAAAAATTTGATCCGCATTTATAGCAAAACATTCTAAGGTAGGAATATTGGAACCCTAAACACACATTTTTTTGCACTTATTTTGTAAATTGCCATTTAACAGTACATGTGAGTAACCTCCCTTTACATACTAAATCATTGTGCTGTATATATATATACTGACATAAGACTTTGACCACCCAACAATCTAGTGCAAAGTTTTTCCTAGAATATAGTATACTGATATTATATGTCTTCCTGAAACTTGTCAAAACTTTCTAAGAATGACAGGTTCAAACTGCAATCCAGATTTATTCCAAACATTTAAGGGGTTAAGTTTCGACTATTCCATGAACCGTAATGAAATAACTGTTTTATTACATGAAATTTGATTACAAAACTTTCATTTGATGGTTTCCAACATGCACAGTTAATTTTAAGTGAATTGTTTTCAGGGTAAAACGGTAAATAGTTTTTGAGCCTTCGTTCTTGATCTGGCAGATGAAACTTTTTGTTGAACGTCCTTTTAACAGTTAAGTATGTGTTTTTAAAACAGCATAATATCATTTTATAGTTACCATTATGCAATATCTGTTCAAAGTATTTTTGTTTTTAATATTCATTGTAACAATTCTATAAGAAATGATTCAATAAAACTTCAGATTCTATTTCTCGCAAAACTGAACAATTCTAAAACCATTTCCATCACAAAGAAGGTACTTTTAACGAGATTGTGGAACAAACAGTTGCTTATATATTTGAGGAATTTCTCGTTACAGTCCACCCACGACTGACCTATGTAGTTGATAGTTTATTTATATATATATGTATATACATGTTTATATGGGTACCTTAATCTTTCAAACTCTATCTTACCAAGCAATTTCACTTAATATAAAAACAGATAACTTAAAAACTTTATCTCCTGTAAGAGTGTTGTAGTTCAAAATCTCTCATCACATTCAGCTTTGTAACCGGTCATAACAAGTTATTTACATTTTTCTACAAAGACATTACAGTTTTATTATGAAGAAAATCCAAACAGATTATAATATGTCCTCACCAATCTCGTCACATGTACATGTGATCATGGTTTGGGGAGTTTTCGACACAATACATAGCGCTATCATTCATCGTTAGAGAGGAGCACTATCAGTGGCCAATACCCCTATAGGTAAATTTATATAAAGTAATTAAACCTGTAAGAAATGTCGGGTAGTAGTATATCGTAAAACTCTGTAAGTATGCTCCTGAGCTATGCTTCCATTTACACAGTAACTGTGAGTCTGAGTTTGATACGCGACTTGGCAACATATGTTGTGTCGTGTCCGCAGCACATTTTAGCAACATTTCAGAACAACTTTAGCACTGTGTCCACATCTTATTTCAGAGCGATGTCCGAACTTCAGTGCATCCACCGGGCATTCTTTTGTACAATTTCAGGAGATATTTATCACTACGTCTACAAGGTAGCTTTTCTCTCTCTTTGTTTATACGATTTCTGCACATACTGCTCCTTCAATTGTCCATGTGACACATGGACAGCATGTCTAGTATTCATCCCATCACATCTTTACACAACAGTGTTAAATTTCCTGTAACTCCAGGACAATTATTGTTTACACTTTTCAATCTTGTGCGGTGAAACATCCATTACGTTTCAAAACCAACTCCACAACATTGATCACTGAGAAAGCTAAGATTAATCTTAACTATGTAATCCCCATGTAGCAGCACAGGATTAAGGACAAAGAATTCTAGAAGTGTTAAATATTCAATAGGTGCCCTCGGTTGGTATATCCATTGCTGACAGGTTATAGTGGCCCCAAAGACAGGGGAGGGGGCATCAAAAGATCTGGGCTAGCTAGTGTTCCCATGCCATTTCTCTGATCTGCATCAAATCTCCATGGATAAGTTTGCTGTCTTAATCAGTGATGAAATGGACAGTACTTCCATTTTGTGGGCAAGTTGACCACAATGCTAATACTTTAGTGAAGTTGACAGCACTTATGATTTATTCGTCAATTTGTGATCAAGTTCCTGCTACTACTGGGTATTGTCAAATTAGTCTGTAGAGAAATTGCCATCAAACACCTCTTGATGCAGCGGAGGGAAATCCTTTTGTTGCTCCATGCCATGAAGTTTCATGCTATTAAGAACCTCGGAATGCTTGTTGTTAAGTTTCCTAAAGAACGGCACAAGGCTTATGGTCTTCACAAACATCTCATCCACATCTGCAATGCACAACACAAGCTATTAGTGATTTTCATTGTGATCAGGAAAACCAAGAACTTTCCAGACACACAATTTTAAGCAAGATTTAGTAGAAAGGAAACAACACATTAAGGTAAAATATTAATACCTATCATGTTCATGATTTCAAATTTGAAAATGTTATTTGAATGGTATGACACCTAAAAATCAATATCAATCGACAAGCTGAAAACCAATTTCTTCCTATAGCCCTTACAAGTAGTTCTATATAAAAACAGAATTACATTTTCCGGATAGGGTATGGCAACACTTTAATGATTGTGCAACTACGGAGAGTTGAGAATGGGGCTTTCTTCAATACTTACTGTCTCCGTGCGACCTAAGCATCAACTGGTAAAGGCACTGGAGCAGTAGTATCTGTAATTTGTCAATAGCTTTTGCATTCTTCAGATTAAGGCGATCTGTGGGAGAAAACATCACAATTAAATAACGTCAAAAAAGAATATATCTGTCCAACCTGAACTAGATTTTGATATCTATCACTGTAGATTACATATACTCTTCTGCAGACAATATCTGTCCAACCTGAACTAGATTTTGATATCTATCACTGTAGATTACATATACTCTTCTGCAGACAATATCACATTCATAAGAACTCAGCATTTGCAGAACATATTTCGAAGTAATTACATGAGGGAAGGTGTCTTTTAATCCTTTTTAAATCATTAGGCTCCCCCCCCCCTCTCCTGACCCTGCACTTGTAATAATATAACCATTAAAATTGACTTTAATGTGTATGGCTATAAATATCTCAGCAGCTACCTGCAGGGTGCTTGCTCACTTATAATGGTCACCAAATGTACAATGATGCTATTTAAAAGAGATTTGCAGGCCCTTTGTATGTCCAACAGACTTTGGTTACGACAGGTTTTACTACTGGGTGCAGATCTATACGAGTTGACAATAGCACAAAGGTATTTGGATATCAAGCTGATCACTGTAGTTTCACTTACGAGGACAGATAATCAAAACTGTTGAAAAGAGTGCCGTTTCTACGTCTGTTAACTTCAGCGGGTTCAACTCCCCTGCCACGATGAAAAACTCGTCCATAAAGCTTCCCATCGGCATCGACTGTATCACCTTCCTGGAATCGGTGAGGAATTGAATATCATAAATCAGTTATTGCATGTCTGTATAACATTGCATAGAAAACTGTAGATACTTTGTATTCCTGTTTCTTTAGTCTCAATCTAGACCTTACAATCATGTCTGCAACTTGAAATTTTTGCCGCATTGTTGCATTCATCTCAAAAAGTGCCAAAATAATACTGCTGCAAAAATTACCCGATATATTTTCATTTACATTTGATTTTTTTTTTTTTATGGAAACCTCTTTTCATAACAAATTAGTTCTTTAAACAATTATAACAATTATACTGCATAACTAACCCAATACAGAGACTGAACTGATTGAGTGAACATTGCTTAGATGTAAAACCAGGCCTCGTGACCTTACCTGGGACACTTCATTTTCATATCGGGGTCAAACATCTCTTGCGTATCGATGTCCACCAGGTTACACATACGACAGGCCAGTATCTCAAACGAACCTTGCTTTATCAGCAGTATCTGATCATCCTGGCAAATCTCACCGAAACCTGTCACAGAGATCAAACATGATAATACACCTACTGTAAAGAATATCGGAGAATTAACCCAATAATATTGCAGTTTTTAGTGATTTTGGTTTCATATCATGTTCAAAGCCGTTACAAAGAATATTCGAGAATTAACCCAAAGATGTTGCTTTTTATGTGACTTCGGTTTTATTTTATGTTCAAAGCTGTTATAAAGAATATTGGAAAATTTACCCATAGTTCTATTGCTCAAAGTTATTTTGCTTTTATTTTATGTTAAATATTTCCTCCGCAATTCTTTTTCACAGATTTTTTTTTTTTAATTTGCTTCCATTTCATTTAGGAACAGTTAACAACCGTTAACATGAATAATGCTATTTGACTGTTTTATATTACATGTGATTTTCTGTTACAGGTAACATTTAAATCTTACCTGGAATTCTTTTACAGAATTTGACAGCCTGTGTGATCTCCGGTACCATGTTTTGTAGGAACTGTTTCCACATCATATCTGGGTCCAGAGACAGCGTGCTGAGGTCAGGCTGTCGAACAGAAAACCAACACATGATCAAGAAATAGATAATCTAAGTGAACAGTTTACATTGCATTCCCTTTTTTAACAACAATGTCTCAGTAATACAGCCTCAGACCTCTAACCCTGACCAATGGCCACCAAACCTAATACAGCCTCAGACCCCTAACCCTGACCAATGGCCTCCAAACCTAATACAGCCTCAGACCCCTAACCATGACCAATGGCCACCAAACCTAATACAGCCTCAGACCTCTAACCCAGACCAATGGCCACCAAACCTAATACAGCCTGAGACCCCTAACCCTGACGAATGGCCACCAAACCTAATACAGCCTCAGACCTCTAACCCTGACCAATGGCCACCAAACCTCATACAGCCTCAGACCCCTAACCCTGACCAATGGCCACCAACCCTAATACAGCCTCAGACCCCTACCCCTGACCAATGGCCACCAACCCTAATACAGCCTCAGACCCCTAACCCTGACCAATGCCCACCAAACCTAATACAGCCTCAGACCCCTACCCCTGACCAATGGCAACCAAACCTAATACAGCCTCAGACCTCTAACCCTGACCAATGGCCACCAAACCTCATACAGCCTCAGACCCCTAACCCTCACCAATGGCCACCAAACCTGATAAAGACTCAGACCCCTAACCCTGACCAATGGCCACCAACCTAATACAGCCTCAGACCCCTAACCCTGACTAATGGCCACCAAACCTAATACAGCCTGAGACCCCTAACCCTGACGAATGGCCACCAAACCTAATACAGCCTCAGACCTCTAACCCAGACCAATGGCCACCAAACCTAATACAGCCTGAGACCCCTAACCCTGACGAATGGCCACCAAACCTAATACAGCCTCAGACCCTTAACCCTGACCAATGGCCACCAAACCTAATCCAGCCTCAGACCCCTAACCCTGACCAATGGCCACCAAACCTAATCCAGCCTCAGACCCCTACCCCTGACCAATGGCAACCAAACCTAATACAGCCTCAGACCCCTAACCATGACCAATGGCCACCAAACTTAAGACAGCCTCAGACCTCTAACCCTGACCAATGGCCACCAAACCTCATACAGCCTCAGACCCCTAACCCTCACCAATGGCCACCAAACCTGATAAAGACTCAGACCCCTAACCCTGACCAATGGCCACCAAACCTAAGACAGCCTCAGACCCCTAACCCTGACCAATGGCCTCCAAACCTAATACAGCCTCAGACCCCTAACCCTGACTAATGGCCACCAAACCTAATACAGCCTGAGACCCCTAACCCTGACGAATGGCCACCAAACCTAATACAGCCTCAGACCCCTATCCCTGACCAATGGCCACCAAACCTAATACAGCCTCAGACCCTTAACCCTGACCAATGGCCACCAAACCTAATCCAGCCTCAGACCCCTACCCCTGACCAATGGCCACCAACCCTAATACAGCCTCAGACCCCTACCCCTGACCAATGGCCACCAAACCTAAGACAGCCTCAGACCCCTAACCCTGACCAATGGACACCAAACCTAATACAGCCTCAGACCCCTAACCATGACCAATGGCCACCAAACTTAAGACAGCCTCAGACCACTAACCCTGACCAATGGCCACCAAACCTAATCCAGCCTCAGACCCCTACCCCTGACCAATGGCCACCAAACCTAAGACAGCCTCAGACCCCTAACCCTGACCAATGGCCACCAAACCTAATCAGGTGTGTGATGTTACCATACTAATAAATAAACTAAATCTGTTGGCGTTAAAGATATGAAATATGTTAATTAACTGTTACTATTACATATACAACATGAGTTCCAATAAAGCCTCATAAAAGTCTGATATAATTGGAAGGAGTTGGAGTTTCTTTCTGTCATCTCTCAGCTATAGCATGCTTACAATTCTACATTTCATGAATATGTATACCGTAGATGTGCACAAATCAAAGGAAAACACCATCAGTTTTGGCTTTGCAGAAAACTTGAGACAAATATAACAGATTTGTCAAAACAAATATCGTGTTTTTGATCACATGTCCTTAATGGATTAAGCCTCTCTTACATGTAGGGAGTCATGGTGATATCCTTTGTTTAATAAATACATTATGAAGTCAGTCCCCTTGGCCAAATGATACTTCAGACCTTTGGTTCAGACCCCTTCACCTGAACTGGAAAGAGTAATCTCTTTATTCCCCATTGGGAACCACCTACATAGCTTAGCTGTCATTGAGGCACTTTTTCATTTATACAATAATAATTATAAGTCCCAATGACTTAGTGATCTTTCAGACCATATTTGGTTAAAAATTCTTCAGTTCTGAAGGAGTAGTCCCTACCCTACTCCGTTATACCATAATAAGCTCTCTTGGTCCAGTGAGAATTGCAACACAATTTGGTTAAAATGTTATCAGGCATTCAGGGGGAATAGGTTTTTAAATGAAAAACTTGACAGACTGATGACAGATGCTACACCACTGCTTAAGATCACTGAGAGCATGTGATGGGTGGATTACAGCCTGTACCTGATCACATGAGTAACAGTTAACTGGTTAACCTTTAACAATCAACTGAATTCTTGCATTGATTCTTAGTACAAATGTTATTCACAAAATAGTTGTAAAATAAATGTATTATCAATTATATATACAACCTGCTTACAGAATGTTAACATTTTTTTTGGTTATTTTTGTTTGTTTAAATGAAATGGTCAAATGTGGCCGAGCTTACTGTATACTTACCAGGACAGCTGTACAGCCTGCGAGACGAGCATTCGCTGCCTTCACTACCTCATTGGTGGGCTTACATGTATCCATGTGAGCGGCGTAAACATTTTCTGTTACCTGTTGAATTAATACTCTCCTCAACTCAGACGGTCTCACAGCAACATCGGTCATTATGCGTTCCATATCAAGGTCATTATTGTCGTTAACTTTCATCACCACAGGCAAGAGTGAGGGCATAGGATCAGCACTGGGAAATTGAGGCATAACATCCATGTTTTGATTTGTGGAAAAACCCATCGGCATGAAATTTGCCCCGTCATTTGAAGCACTGGATGAGTTTGGCCCACTACATGACTGATTGGATGAGCCTGGCTCAGACTTGATACTTAATGCATTAAAATTGTGCTGGCTTTCAAGTTCTGTTAACATATTTTCATCAACAAGATTGATGGTTGCCAGGTCAATGTCACTCTTGTCGTCAAGGGGTATGTCATGGTTGTTGTTGAATGACATATCCCCCGCAGAGCTGGTGAACTCACCAATAGGGGAATGGCTCTTGCTGCTACCAGGACTACTGAAACTTGAGTAGCCTGATTCCCCTTCTGTCAGGGGTTTACCCTTGTTCTTGGTTTCATCGTTGTCATTACTTGAAGGATTGCGCTGGTGCTCCCGGAAGCTTGCCTGGGCTGCAGACAAAAAGGCCTGCATTAACTCTGACTTAAATGTACCATTCTGTTGAAGCAGGTTTTGCAGCTCGGCCATTTTCAGTTTGTACAGATCGGACGAAGTTGGGGGATAAGGTGCTATGGCTGGCAGACTCGCTGACCCTTGATGTTTAGACTCTCCACCCGAGTCTTTTAAACGTTTTGGCCGCCGTCCCAATCTTGAAGCTGGAGGAAAAGGAACAAAATGTATTTATGCAGTAAAAGTGTGTCTGAAATGAATGAAATACATCAGAGCAATTCTTTTGGTAAAAAATTATACTTGTAAAAACTAACAAGAAGAGTGGATGTGTCGCCACCTCGACAGAAAACCCCGTAATATGTGTGGAACATTATTGCTTCTAGCATTACCGTACGAAATTTGAAAGGAATTGATTAAAAAATGTCTTGTATTTACTACACAACGCCCTTGTTTGGCAATAAAAGGGGCATAACTCCACCAAAAATGCACGTAAACTTCTGAAATGCAAACTTGCCAGAGCTATATTGGTATGCAATATGTGTACCAAGTTTGGGTTCAATCAACCCAAGGAAACTCCTAAGTGATCGCACGGAAACCTTGTTTCGGACGACGCAAACGACCCCACCGACAAAGTAATACCTATATGTCGCCTCACATTGCAGGCGACACAAAAATGAGTCAATTCTTACAGGCTGCTATATTGAACGTTTCAAGGGAATACTTCAGTCTGCCACTTACAGTACAAAGTACTGTACAGTCCCAGGCAGTCCAGGAGAGTGTAAATATCACCCAATGAACTTGAGACACCTCAGTCTAGATATGTAGAGGATAGAATACTTTAAAATGAACATATAGACAAAAAAAATTTACTTGTGAACAACTTATCAAAAACTTATTATAACTCATCTAGAGACTCAGAAAAATTATTTGATATTCAAGCCTCTCCTGATCCCTAAAACGTAATTATACATTTCAAAAACTCTAAAGGCTAAGTTTGTTCAAAGTTTTGAACACAAACAAGAATTGAAAATTTATTTTGCAAGCTTTCGAAAAATGTCTGTTTCCTTTGTCAAGCAAAGAGCGTAAATAACTGGTGTCTTGACTCTAAACCGCTGAAAAAAACTCCAAAACAAACTTGTTTTATTGTTATTTCATTATTTATTCCAAACAAATGAATCTTATTCCGAATTTCAAGAACTCCTTTATCGGAAACCAACTGCATACATGCACTTGTAAATTACTTATCAAGGGTTATCTGCGACTACTTACTTTCATGCAAAATTTGATTCAGGTTCAGGGATTACAAAATTTTGTTAGTTACAGATTAATGTCATTCACAAAGAAAGAAAAAACTATTGACATTTAGTACCTTTTATATACGGACATAGTGTTAACAATTCCATTTAAATATAAGCAGCACTTCAGGAGAAGTAGTCTTGACAACCTTTATGTCTATGGACAAAAGGATGGAGGGATAGACAGATACCTTGAATCAGGTATATCTGGGTCTTCTGACTTTGTTGCTGGTGTATATACATGTATAACAAACATGCCTGACTGGGATATATTTAGCACTGATACCTATATGCTTTCCTGTGTAACCTTGAAGATAAGGAAGTTGAAGTGTAAATACACAAAAAACATCTGCATACATCTATAACAGTCAGCTGATACACTCATACATATTCCATACATGTAACTGAATAATTAAGTGGTAATATACATAATGTGTCCTTGATTAAGGACAGACAAACTGTCAAATTTTCAGAATAGCTTGCTTTGTTTAAATAAAGGACATAAATGTACACTACAAATAGATGAGAGGGATGGTGACATGGAAACAGCAGGTTCAACACAGGAATCATTAGGCTACTGCTGACATACACCAAGTACACCTATTACCTTGATAACAAATCAAATGTCAAATTATAAAAAAATAAATATAAAAAAAATGTGAAATTTTAAACAGGCATACATGTATTTCCATATTGTTTACCCAAAAGCGATTACTTTGATATGATTTCATGACCCTGTATTTGTTAATGTGAAACAAACAGATATTCAGAGGACAAAGGTCAGGGTCCTGCAGCCTGAAACAACACGTTTGGTATTTGCGACAACTTGTCCTGTTCGATAATCATCTGTACTGTAAATCTCCAGAAATGGAACAATGATATAATAATTGGTTCATGGGCAGTTCAGAATCTTAACGACAATCCAGCAGAATTATAAATAATGACCCGAACAGTAGAGAGACTTACTATATTTACTCCGGGTTCTAAGGCTGCGTAGGCTGCGTAAGACATAAGATAGACCAATTTTGATTATAAAATAATTACCTCTTTCCCATTACCTACCATCCCCACCTAGCTCCCACTAAGAACTTTTGATATTTACTTCCCCCACCCCCAAACCTCCAATGATCATCAACAAGTGTCAATTTACGGTTACCACAAAAGCATATAAATGTCATGTTCTTGTATCAGTTACAATTGATGAATATGACAAAATCCAATTTAGACTGTCTATAGGCTTTCAATGGGAAGACAAATTTTGTCTATCAAAAGTGTAATATTTCATTTAAAGGGATTTGATTCTAAGGAAGTAAAATGGCTGATGGTTCAACAAAGCATTGGTAAAGGAAAACACATCCATCCATGTCAAAACGCTTTTATTGAAAATGATTGTTTACCGATTTTGTCCCCACATGTACAGCAATAAATTAAATTGATGCAAAAATGGTCAGAACCGAATTTAATGATATTACTTTGATACAAGTTAACCAACATTTTAAAAGTCTAGCACTATATAGCTAACACTGATCAAAATGTCTTAGAACGCCAAAAAAGAAGATCCCCTTTTATAGATGTATTTTTGTATGCATTAGTTGATTGAAAGCCAGAATCAGGTGAAGATCAACTTGTTGATTGTTTGACAATTGACGTGCCTTTCCTATACTCAACCTAACGAGATAATATCACTAAATACAGCATCTATCGGGATATACCTCATACTTTTCATATATGCTGGCATGTGTGAAATGTTACGAGCTGGGAGTTTCCATACATGTAAGTTTTGGCACGCGGTAGGCTACATCAGTAAACACAGCCGAGCAGGATACATTTTCAGCGGCAGCTGTTACGTTTTGTAGGAGATAATGCGTAATGGTGCATGCTGCTGAGGTCAGGCAGGGGTAGCTACATAACGTGTAGGAACTATATCTGTTTCACATCAAGCTCAACAAACAAACATCTCCACGTGCTTATGGAAACATTTTAAAACAAACATATCTAATTTAATCCCTACCACGGTGTTTTACAAACTTCAGTTTCATCCCTACCATATTGATTTACAAACATCTCCGTTTAAATCTAACCAACTTGTTTATAAACATCTCTGGTTAATCCGTGCCATCATAACATTTTACAATATCGTAACAATTCTAACTTGATCCCCCGAGGCATAAGTTCAGTGTAAACAAATTTTTAAAGTTTTGTCATTACAGAGAGTGCCAGTAATTGACACCTTCAACTTTCCCAGAGATTTTCATTATATCATAATATCATTATAAATAATGCATTGTAAAACTGACTAACTCAATTAAATGATTGCAATACAACTATTATGGGAACCAAAGTTGATAAAATAGAAAATATTTAAATCTCAATAAACTGAGCATGCACTGTAATTACATGCCCAAAGCTGATAACTGTATATTTTGAAAATCAGGCAATTTTTTTATTTTTTTTTAATAATAAATGAAGTTGTGTCTTATTATAGCCGAAACAATAATAATCTTTGAAATAAAAAAAAATCTGAAATTCTATATACCTGGTACAATAAATAAAAAGATTTTAATCCCTTTGCATTGTTTTAAATCACTCCCCTTGTCAAAAAAGAAAATTCTATGTACAAAGATAGAAATTTTATAAGGACAGACATGATTCCAACAAGTTTTCCAGCATTGTAGACTTTAATCCTCTTTAGTTTTAATGTATCCATCAAATTCAACGACCCTCGACTTCCTGTCAAACTCTCTCAGCTCTTTAAGACCCGACGAGTGCATAGGTACTGTATAAGCTACGATAGCTAAGTGAGAAAGGACAGACCAAGACATTGTAAAATGTCAATTCACCGTAAAATGTTGTTTGTTCTACACATTTTGAGTTTATATAACATTGTCACAAACCTCACAAGATTTTGTCTGCGAGCTGTGCTATCTCTGTTAATCATTATATAGAAGATGGGTGTTTTTTTATTTACATACTATCCCTGATAGCATGGTATCTCTTCTGCTACCCCAACATAGTGTCAGCAAGAAGTGTTGTCCATTGACAACTGATAGTGTTAACAGTCCCTGTAGTGTTACACCACTATAACCATCATTATATATAGAAGTCTTAGGTATGATTACAGACCGATCTATAACCATCACTGTATAGAAGTCTTAGGTATGGTTACAGACCGATCTATAACCATCGCTATATAGAAGCCTTGGGTATGGTTACAGACCGATCTATAACCATCGCTATATAGAAGCCTTGGGTATGGTTACAGACCGATCTATAACCATCGCTATATAGAAGCCTTAGGTATGGTTACAGACCGATCTATAACCATCACTGTATAGAAGTCTTAGGTATGATTACACACCGATCTATAACCATCACAATATATAGAAGTCTTAGGGATGGTTACAGACCGATCTATAACCATCACTGTATAGAAGTCTTAGGTATAATTACAGACCGATCTATAACCATCACTGTATAGAAGTCTAGGTATGATTACAGACCGATCTATAACCATCACTGTATAGAAGTCTTAGGTATAATTACAGACCGATCTATAACCATCACTGTATAGAAGTCTTAGGTATGGTTACAGACCGATCAATAACCATCACTATATATAGAAGTCTTAGGTATGGTTACAGACCAATCTATAACAATCACAATATACAAGTTTTAGGTATGGTTACAGACCGATCTATAACCATCACTTTATAGAAGTCTTAGGTATGGTTACAGAGCGATCTATAACCATCACTATATAGAAGTCTTAGGTATGGTTACAGAGCGATCTATAACCATCACTATATATAAAAGTCTTAGGTATGGTTACAGACCGATCTATAACCATCGCTATATATAGAAGTCTTAGGTATGGTTACAGACCAATCTATAACCATCACAATATAGAAGTCTTAGGTATGGTTACAGACCAATCTATAACCATCACAATATAGAAGTCTTAGGTATGGTTACAGACCCATCTATAACCATCGCTATATAGAAGTCTTAGGTATGGTTACAGACCTATCTATAACCATCCCTATATAGAAGTCTTAGGTATGGTTACAGACCGATCAATAACCATCACTATATATAGAAGTCTTAGGTATGGTTACAGACCGATCTATAACCATCACTATATATAGAAGTCTTAAGTATGGTCACAGACCGATCTTTAACCATCACTATATAGAAGTCTTAGGTATGGTTACAGACCGATCTATAAACCTATCCCATTGTATTGTCTGTCTACGCGAACCTGCGACATTCAAATCTGTTCGTTCCATTTCCCCTTATGCCTTTATCAAAGAGTAAGAATTAAATCCAGAAGGATTTCCCCAATATTATTATCAAAGAGCAAGAAATTCTGAATGACAATTAATGTGAACTTCTATCTTCAATGAAATTTCTTTCACCAAAAAAATGAAAGAGACATGATCTGTAGTAATTTTGAATAAAACGGATATTCATAAAAGTCAACTACCCCTAAACCCCACAGAAACCTGTTACCATTGGAAACCCGACATGAGCAACAACATTTTAAACAACATTTTAAACCATGACACACATTCAATAATGACATCATTTGAGAAAACCAGAGAAGGAAACAAATGTCAAAGGCAGATTTCAGCAGTTGACAATCCGATTAATGATTGCTCCCTAAAACGTCTGATTTGCAGGTCTTTGTCGAGAGTAATCCTAGAGAGAAGGAACTGAACTTCAGTTAATACCCTTAATTACAAGGCTGCATTCCCATCAAACTTAGCTCTATCAATGAGTGTTATGGCCCTGAATCTGTCAATATCTAGGACATTGACTGCGGAGAATTAGGCGTTAATTACACAAAAACGCTAAATATAGCCTCTATCACTCAACTAGGATGTTTGAGGCAGATTTTTTTTCGTATTTAACACTTCAATCCTGTTTAGAGTCGGATATCCAAAACAAAATTAAAGGTCATTTATTTATAGACCAGTATGCTGACATGCCTGTTACTGTATACACAGTCATTCATACACATGCATCTGATCTGTCATTCTGCCAAACATTTTACAACTGCATGAGTGTGACGTCACACTGTTCTAGATGCAGAATCATAGTTTGAAAGGGATACTTTGAAAGCTCAGAATTAGGACATTTTTATTGTACATCGAGGGGAGTATTGCCTTGGAACAGCTGTTGTGCACTGCCAATAGTTTATCCCTTTATCAGAACACAACCACATGCAATAATTCAAGTAAGTATTTTACAAGGAGTTATTCTACTCTGCCAGCTGACACCATAAAAAGACCTACAATCTGCCTTCAACACAATGTCAAACATCAAGTTGAAACCTTGATTTCTAGATCGTAATCTTAAACCAATTCAAAACATTCTGATTTTCTTCAAGATTTCATTTACAACACTTTTGGTTCTGGGCACTCTACATGTGTTGTCTTGATATATTTATTAGGGCAATATAGCATCTATCTGGTCCTAACATATATGAAGACAGAAGGTTACTTTAACTGGTCCCAACACTTCAGGGCAACTGCTTATCTGTTCGGTTCAAACTCTAAAGGACAACATTACATTTGTCTCCTCCTAACACCTCATGAACTCATTCACCCCTGAAGACACATTTGAACTCTTCCAATTCAAAGGTTGGAATAGTCCATTATGAAATTTCAGGGGTGAATGAGTTAATGTAACAGCCTACTTTTCCCGACACCCAAGGATAATAGAATACATGTCCAGTGCTTAAACATCTCTGGGAAAATATTCCACATTATTCCTGCCATGCATGGAGTAAGTGTAAAGTGCACAATGTTTACATCAAGCTGTATCAGAACAAGTTCTAGATAAAAATTTGTTTACATCAAGCTGTATCAGAACAAGTTCTAGATAAAAATTTGTATATTTGATTACCTTATACAAACATCATTCATATCTACAAAATGCCAGATATATTGACTGGTGTTGTCATTGACTTGAGGATGATACTGACCTTCTCTGGACATGCCAACTGAAAAGCATTTCTTCAGCCGACAGTACTGGCAGCTGTTTCGTGTGAAGGGCGTGATTTCGCACTTCTCTTCGTTTGAGCACTTATGGGTCATCCCTTGGGTAATACAGCGACGGAAAAAACCCTGCAAGTTTATTAAACAGACATATAGCCATTACCATATATATATATAGGCAACAATATTATGCACAACATTTTTTGTTACTTGTATTGCAAAAACCACAGATGCCGGCTGAATAAATGACCTGGAATATTCTTCGCTATATTTCATAGGACAAGGTTGTTGATTGAGCTACTGGTCTTTCCAATGGATTTTTGTGTAGGCCAACTGAGCAAGCTGATTTTGCCAACAACATGTCATCTACGAGTGACTTTCCTTTTGAATACATGTATATTCAAAAGCACATAAGACCATTTTTAAATGGTACAGAAAAAAAATTTGAAAACAAATACTGTTTTAGCAGTCCAGCTGGTAAGCCAGAAAGAGCCCTATCATTTACCCCTAAGCTGACCCATAAAGTACAGGGACAATCGGGTCAATCAAGTTATGTTCTAGACTGGCTATCAGCCTTTAAGGTTTTATGATGAATTTCCCAACATCATTTTACTACTAGCTTATCTCCCTAGTTTAGAACTTAGAATCAGACATCCAAGTGATAATTTTTTTTTCTAAATAATTCAATATTCTATAGACGGGGGGGGGGGGGGCAGTCTAGTTATGTTCCTTAAAGCTTGGATTTACACAATGTACATCAACAATGAACTGGGCTTCCTGAGTAAAATGGTAATACTGTCAACACTCGAAACATATTAAAAACCAATGTTGATGAATGTGCAGGGAACCTGATGTCACCATAAAATCATAACCATTTATATCAATTATTGTTGCCGTGGTAACTAGACCTTCACCTAACTTATGACCTTCGCATCTCAATCTGAGTCAGCAATAACATCGTACCATATTACATAAACACATTTATTTTGCAATGGAAAGTATTTATCTTTAAATGTGCCATTTGTTCATTGTGTATTACTATTAAACTAGTTTTTATATTTTATTACAGAATAACATCATTAACAACAACAAGAGGCCCAGAGGACCTGTATTGCTCACTTGGATAATAAAGCAACCATGGGAAATTATTCTTATTACATAAAATCCCTCCAATGGTACAGAAGAAGGAGTTTTAAGATTTAAACCTTGAATTACCCTATTGGGCTTCGGAACTCTCAGCACCCAGGAAGGCCTTACCCTTCGATTATACAAAACTAAGACGCCTTTGCGCAAGCATGCTCCAGACAAAACTAGGACATAACTCGTCCCTATGGTAGAAGAGAGATTTTAAAGGTTTACCTCTATTTCCCCTATTCGGCCCCATCCCTCTGCCCCCAGGGGGGCCAAACCCAACGTTTATACAAAATTGAGTCCCCTTGGCCCAAGGATACTCCAGACTAAATTAAGATAAAATCCCTTTATCCCTACAGTAGAAGAATGATTTTAAAGGTTTTAAACTCTATTTCCCCCATTGGGCACCGCTTCTCTGCCCCCAGGGGAGCCACACCCACCATTTACACAAAATTGAGTGTCCCTGGCCTAAGGATGCTTCAGACCAAATTTAGCCAAAATCTACTAGGTCGTTCAGGACTATTAGCATTTTAAAGGAAAATTTGACGGACGGACGACGGACGCTGCAGTTTGGCATAAGCTCACCATCAGGGTCCTGCTGACCAGGCGTGCTAAATCATCGACTTGATTGCTAGTTCAAATATATGGGAGAAACGATAACATTGCACAATCCATTTCACTTGGCTTGTGGAACATTATTTTGGTCATAACGCAATTAATATTTAACCATTGCCTGCTGAATCATCGGAGGAAAAAATAAACATAAAAGAAAATTCTGCATAAATTCCGTATAAAATGACAATGTAAAAAGAAAAGGATTGGATGGTCTTACATTTTCAGTGAGTAATTGTAAACAGATTAAAAATTCTAAATTTAATGTAAATTTATAAGACTGTGTAAATGTCTAAAGTTTTTCTGGAACAATACATGACCAAAAGTTAAATGAAATATGTATTGAACAAATTCTGTTGAACAAGCATCCATCGACAATTGTGTTATTGCTAAAATAACGTTCCATTCGAAAGAGAAACCAAGACGAGTACAATGCCTTAATACCATAACATCAATGTTGATTTGGAATTTCTTGACATGCAGTTGCTCAATGAAAAGATGCAATTTGAAAATTTGTCTATTCTGAGTGGTAGTTATAGGTCCCTGTGGTATTGAGATTTGATCAGGTATGCTGCACATATAAAACAGATATTATCACTAAACTGTGTCTGACACATCTACATAAACAGCTCTAAAAATAGACACGTAATCACGTAAACCCCGGACGTAACATGACATCATCATGAATACCCATTAAAAAAGAGTACAACTGATGTCTGTCTGGCTTATCGGTCTTACACGGGGAAGTTTCAGTCGTCTCTCAACTTTTAATCTCCAACCTTCGTTAGTCAATGTCTGTAACGATGTCATATTTAACTCATTCACCCTTGAAGACACACATTTGAACCCTTCCAATTCAAAGGTTGGAGTAGTTCATTATGAAACTTCAGGGGTGAATGAGTTAAAATTAATATATCAGGATAATACCCACAGGTACAGAAGTCAGTGGAGGCGAACATTTATACTCAAATTGACGCCACATGTGAGCAATGTTATTCCAATTAATCAATTTAAATGATGATTACCTGCTATTTGTGTTTTCTTTACGACTAATTGATCATGATTTTCTACAATCAATCATGGTTTGACTACAACATGAAAACTGTCATGAGTTACATGTAGAGATTTGGAGCAGACTTCAAAACTGGTTAAATGAACAATTTTACTCATAAATATCTCCGGAAACTACATACAAACAACACCTATGCCCACAGCTAGGTATTACAAAAGTATTTTACCCATTTTGGTAAATACTTTTTTTTTTTGATCAATGACCACCTGATTGTTCAAGAAATAGTATTGATTTGATAGATTGTGATTTTTTCAAGCTTTTCTCAATATGCAAGTTGTTTACGAGATATCACCATTAACTAGTTTACTTGTAATGTGCTAATGACTTTGGCCTGAGCAAACCTACACGTTTTCTCAAAGATCTGACATGTTTTCAAATAAGATGTATTGAATTCAAGACTTTTTTAAATGCATGAAAATGTTTTTGAGCAAACCTACTCATTTTTCTCAAAGATCCGACGTTTTCTAATAAGATGTATGTATTGAATTCAATATTTCTTAAGGCAAGAATTTTTTATCAACAAGCACATTCAACAAAATATTTTATGCTGATAATTTTTTCATACTATATAATGCTGATCATTTTTTGCCGTACTTTAAACTTTTTTACCCATGACAGCAAATATTAGTACACAGTGTACCATAATTACATAGAAGTCACAGGTGAAGGGTAAAACCAACACTGGGCTAACAAGCCACAGGTATTCAGTACTGCCAAGCTTAGTTCAGGTACTATTGTGAGTGTTTATTTGCCATATATTTCTAAACGTACTTAACAGTTACCTACCTTACATCCCTCGCAGGAGTCGACACCGTAGTGGTACCCCGACGACTCATCCCCACAGACCTTACAGGTGGGTGCTCGCACTCCACACTTAGCTGACATCGCTTGCCTCCCAGCTGCAGGTTGTCTGTCAATGCAAAACATGAACATACTGTATAAGATCAATCAAACTTTATATTCTGAATTAAAATCTGTTTGATTTTCATAGTCTTCAACATCTTTTGTATGTTTATGTAAAGATTAGAGATAATTAGGCTTTCAGGTATTCTCATACATGAAATCTGTATAAACTTTTATCTAAGCTTATTTGTTCCAGTCTTCTCAGCTGTAAATGAGTATGTGGCTGGGCAGTGCTAGAATTGTTGAAAGCTAGCTGTTAATGGCAGCTCCGGCTGTATGCTCCCCAGGCAGTTAAGAAAGATATTGGCTGGTTGCAAATTAAGGCCCAATAACCACAGATAATAATTTGTGAACCGCTTTGAGACGACCTACGAACTAGGTTGTGATAAAGAGGTATACATATAAGAACCTCGAATTATCAAAATCTGTTAAGAAATGAAGTTGCCGAAGAGTAATACACTGAATTGGTTTGATGACAATCGATGTATTCCGTCTTGTCGTTTTGCAGAGTTATCTTCTCTTGAGAGCAAGAATTGATTGTTACGTCCTTTGTTTGTGAGAGGAACGTCATCAATTTTTGAGAAAACGACGTAATTTTCTCACACAAACCAATGATGTAACAATCAATATCTGCTCACAAGAGAAGATAACTCTGCAATATGCAAAGACGGAATATAGCAACAGTGACCTTGGCCATACCCTGAAACACAAACAGGTCCGAGGGATTATTATACCTGCATGACCATTGTTTGAGTTTTGAACAAAATCCTTCATGAAATATACTGAATTGGTTTCTGATAGCAACGGTGACCTTGGCCTTGACCTTGGAATCCTGAAACAAGAACCCATCCGAGGTATTCTCATACTTGAATTCTGTATAAACTTTGATGAATGAAGTAGCTGATAATAGTGAGGACAATGAATCAGTTGATGATTTTCTATAATTTGTTCAGCAACAGTTGCCTTTGCCTTGACCTTGGAACCTAAAACACATATCTAGAGATGTCAGAGGTATTCTCATGCTTGACCTTTGTATCAAAATCTGTGAAAGAATAAAGTTGCTAGAGTGTTAACATATAATCTCGCCACCATGCCACCACAAGGGGACCAACATGGGGAACAAACACTATATGCCCCCCTCCCAGTTTTACGATAGCGGAATAAAACCATAAGGCACCTGTTAAGTGGTAAAAGTATGGGGAGATCTGTGTATTTTGTATTGGTCATGATGAGATCACTACAGTTAAATCTGCATCACTAATTAATTTAATGCCAATATCAATTTACAAGGTTTGCCTTAATTGAGACAAACATTTGATCCTGATTTTAGGAGGTTTAGAGGCCTATAGGGTCAACACCAGTTTTTAGTTTGGTGGTCGGGTGGTGCAGTGGATAAGTACACTGTCACCAAGACAGCCAGAGTTTGAGTCCCCAATCTGACATGAAAAGGTCAAGGGTCACCTGCTCGTTCATAATTGTTTCATAATTGTTGTAAAATAAAACTCTTTATTTGTATACATAAATATTTCTACCAGTTTCACCTGACGGTGACACCTACCATTACAAACCATGGTTCAAACCCTCCGTTATATTGTACCGGCAGGAAATCTTAACACATGCACCAACATGAATTTTAAATTTGTGCATTGCACACCAGAATACCTGAGTCATGTTATTGAATTGATTTAAAATAATTTACATGTTACATACAGAAGAGGTTAATGTGGTAAAGATAAAGAATATACAAAATGCTAAAATCGTGGTTAAATTCAAGGCTAAATGCATTAATATATAAACAACCTACAACACAGTATCACATGACAATGAACAAAAATCTATATTATATTTACAAGGGCTTCAAGTACAGCTGACACCCAACTCAATATTTACATAATCTGTCATATTCAGGCAGAGATCAACAGGATACAAGCCATCTGCCCCTGTTTCCCCGGAGTTATGATCTAATTATAATTATACGTCCTGAAAATAATATACCCTCCTTTAGGCCTTCCCTATTGCCACTTATTGTACATATATCCGAGGCCTCAGATTTAAACCTAGGCCTTTCCTATTGCCCCTTATTGTACATATATCCTGAGGACTCAGATTTAAACCTAGGCCTTTCCTATTGTCACTTATTGTACATATATCCGAGGCCTCACATTAAAACCAAGGCCTTCCCTATTGCCACTTATTGTACAAATATCCGAGGCCTCAGATTTAAACCTAAGCCTTTCCTATTGCCACTTATTGTAAATATATCCTGAGGCCTCAGATTTAAACCTAGGCCGTTCCTATTGCCACTTATTGTACATATATCCGAGGCCTCAAATTTAAACCTAGGCCTTTCCTATTGCCACTTATTGTACATATATCCTGAGGCCTCAGATTTAAACCTAGGCCTTTCCTATTGCCAATTATTGTACATATATCCGAGGCCTCAGATTTAAACCTAGGCCTTCCCTATTGCCACTTATTGTACATATATCCCGAGGCCTCAGATTTAAACCTAGGCCTTTCCTATTGCCACTTATTGTACATATATCCGAGGCCTCAGATTTAACCTAAGCCATCCCTATTGCGATTACTGCACATACACAATGCATATCTATCTAAGGCCTCGGATTTAAACGTAGGTCAGCCCATCTCTATTGTCACTTACTGAACATATATCTATCTAAGGCCTCGGATTTGAACGTAAGCCATCCCTATTGTCACTTACTGAACATATATCTATCTAAGGCCTCTGATTTGAACGTAAGATAGTCAGGCCATCCCTATTGCCACTTAATACTGCACATATATCTATCTAAGGCCTCGGATTTGAACGTAGGTCAGTCAGGCCATCCCTAATGCCACTTAATACTGCACATATACCTATCTAAGACCTCAGATTTGAACAAACTTTCAGCTCCCTAAGCTGTAACATGTCCCCCGTCCGGACAGTTCTGGGGTTTGATACTTAGGACCAGGTGTTAATAAATCTTCTACATAAGTCCTGATAAGACATGATATTATCAACAGATTATCTAAAGAGTACTTATAATAACATCTGCCCAATCTCAACTCTCAGGGTAAGATTCCCCAATCTCACCCACAAAAGGCTGGCAGATAACTATATTCTTAATTGTGAAGAATTACCTCAATCAAGGAAATGATAACGTTTATCCCACAGCTGAAAGGGAACTGTTTGGTAAAATATTATGCTTTATTTATATGCCAAAGGCCTACTATGAACATTAGTTTATCTTACTGTAAAAGTAAAATGTTAAATTATTGTCATCTGCATGACATCAGAGAAAACCTGCAGATTGCCTAGAGTCTAGGGTGGGACAAGGAAATCCAACACCGACAAATTCATCATCAAGGGTAAGAGAATGTCACACAACATTTTCAGGGTCTTGTCATAAAGGCCATGACTGCAGATGCTCTTGAAATTTTGTCCATATGCAAGCAATGAAAATAAATCTGTGAGAACTTGGAGTGATCAACTGTTTATCATCTACAACCATTGCTATATATATATTAACTTTATATTTTATCAATCATAAAAAGTTGACTATCTACCATAACTTACAAGCCAACTTTTAGTGAGTGATCTCCCAAGTCATCGTCACAGACAAATGTAAACAAAAAATACATGTCTGCACGGAGGAGTTACAATCAAATGTATATATTCTATTAGCTTGTGATTCAATTTTGCCAGTAGATATTTCCAGGCACTAGCAAAGGTTTGTTAGTGACAAAAAAAGTTAATTTCAACCCTTGCTTCTTCTTAGGTATTCTCGTACTGACAACCAGTATCAAGTGTAGTAGAGATAATCCTATTTTCAGTTGCCACTTATAAACGAAAATAGTCAATGGCTACTTTGGCAACCGATATCTTGAACCATGTAATAAAACAAAAACCTTAAAGTGGAAATTCCAAAAGATAATTGTTAGAACAAAACTAGAACTTTCATACCGAGGATAACTAATAACCCCCCCCCGCAAAAACTACATCATTTAGTGACCTTGGGGTCAACTATTAACTTACTACTAAAGTGGGAACTTTTTCGAGATATTTTAACTCTTTACACATAGGCCAAGTTTCATCGGTAGAGCAAGTTTTCCAGACAAGTTATTTCACATAAAGGGTTGTTACTCCCCTAAAAAAAGTGCTGAAATCTGAAATTAAAATGCCGATGCACAACTACATAATATACTGATCATTGAAGTGAAGTTAAAATAAAATCTGCCTGTTAGTTAAGATGGAGTTTTACGGACAATTTACTGCAGACGATTAAAGTTCAACAGAATATGATCCAAGTTAACCCTCTCACCCTTATTTAACTTTAGTAGACTCTACCATTCATTTATCTGGTTGAAAGGGTTAACGAACCAATGTCTGCCTGACCATACTAAGACAAAATAAATTAATTTAAATAGTTTTGGTACTCACTGTTCCGCAGTCTGCATAATAGTCTTGTAAATAGCAGTGTCCTTCATACAGATAGTTTACACAGAAACAGGGTGAGGTGTTACAATATGTCCATTCTATGTGATTGTCATCATTATATATACCTGTAAGTACAAAATGACACCATTATCATACAGGGCTTATTAATCATCTAGTTTATATAACATTATAAATAGCACCACTATTAGAGGCCTAGCTATTATGGATACTGCCTTCTTATGGATGTTGCCTTCTTACTGTGAAACTTATCTAAACAAAAGGCAACCATTCAATTCAATTTATTACCAAATGCACATTGCATATAGGCATATAAAAATATACCTATTGATCAATACTTCACAAACATCTTGTACAATGGCGGAGGACATATACAATAGATTTAATTCAACACATAATAATCACAAATTCATGAAATATAACACATAATAATCACAAATTCATGAAATATTTATAAGTTGGGAAAAATCTAAAGCTTTTCCTAAGGTTACTTAGGAGACTCTTATGAAGCATAATTTAATTGTTTATGAAATTATACAAATAAGCCTTTAGCTAGCCAAATTTTTAGGAAATAACAAAACTTCAAAGTCAATCATACAACCTCAACATGAAGGTAGAACGATTACTATATATTACATAATGAAATGAGATTATAACTCTTTGTTAAGTAAAGGACATAGATCTCAATCACATTATACCGTAACAAGACGCTTACAGCAAGACTTTGATACAGCTTATACACATATATTCATAATATTGCCACTTCTCTCAACAGTTTCTTGAATCAAGTACTTACTTAAATTTCTAATCAGTTTTAAAGTTTTGCTAGACAGTAACTCTAGCTCTACTTAAACACCGAAGGACGAATACGATAATATGGCTTGATATAAGATAATCTTAATTCTAGAAATGAAACTCATCCTGGACATTTCCAAGATCACATAAAGTACACAATCTCTGGTTTCGAGGCACTGCATAATATCTATCTGTCTCTATATTAAGGTTATGTGCTTGCATTGCAATCTATATTTCGCAAGAACACATTTATATTTTCTAAATAGCAGTTTGCAAAATACCATTGTAGATCAAAACGGTCAACAATGTGTTTATACAACAAACATAAGAAGATAGAAGATGTCTTGAACATGATTCTCATTTGCTGAATAAAAGTAACCTTTATAGGTTGTATAATAATAAAAAATATTTCTCAATTGGTACACATTGTGCCAACCACATATCTCCAAAACCCAACATACACAAATCACATCTCCGATGATAAACCCAATTTGCTTTATAATTTGGTTTCCTTTTATAAAACTCTTAAAAGTTCATCATAACAGGCCCTCAAAATACAGTTACCAGTCTTTAAATATTTGCAGCCAGTACTTAACTCATTCACCCCTGAAATTTCATAATAAACTATTCCAACCTTTGAAATGGAAGGGTTCAAATGTGTTTTCAGGGGTCAATGGGTTAACAATAGCAATCATGCTGTATATGCAAAGGATAACAAACAAGTTCTAAATACACCGTGGCATTATTTACTGTTTCCCTGACACCCAATAAGGTTTTCAAAAATACTAAATGTTTATTTTCAATCTGCGGCCTGTACGTCGTACATAGGAGACGATTTACCATGCAGCTTTACACATGACTTAACACTCTCGTATACAGATTGAATACAGCATAACTAATCAGAATCCAAAAAACTTGGGCTGAAGGTTTACAGTTTCTGGAGGTTTTAAGGTTATAAAGGATTTTGTTTACAAAGGTTGCACTGAAGTACTGTAGTATAACAAATTTTAACTTTGTGCGTTTCGTATTTTCCATGAATCGGATCAACTCAAAAACTAAAATACAGGTGAAACCAAAATTTTGAAAATTAAGTTTTTAACAATCCTTACCTTTTTTTTACTTTTCTATTCTTAGATCATCAGGGAATCTGTTTTGATAATCTAGTTTTTTAAAGCCAATAATAATGACAGCTCTTGGTGACACCTTTAACATTTTCATGCTTTTCTGTATACCAACTGAGATTATATATAAAATTGATTTTAAACTTTTAATTTATTCCCCCCCCCCCCCCCCCTGCTAAATTCCATTAGTGCTGCTATATACAGCAGCTGCAACTCTGTTGAATGATTTGTGATAAATGCCTCAAGTGAGTATATATATATACTTGAATTATCAACCAGGGATTGGAGAAAGCTTGTAAGATTTATTGAGCACTTATATTCCACACAGGATGTAATAATTTTGGGGAGCAGCATTCTGAATAGACAATACTACGATATTTCTGTCTGCAGACTGTGAGGGAAGGGTTTAAGTTCCCCATAACCCATAGCTTCTATAGACAATATTTATTGACGTTTGTCAGCTTTGAGAGAATAGGAGTGCTTGCATGCCTTTCCTGCACTGATACACATGGCGATAGTTAGTATGTTGTAAAACATCCTCACACCTGAGCTAGGATCATGTGAAAACGGGTACCTAGCGGACACATCGCAGAAAAATTCAGGAAGAGAGAAACAAAAGGCGAAGATCCACGCTAGTGTTGCAATGGGACCAAGGCAACAGATCAACTTTGGATCTACGATATCCTCTAGGCAGAAGACACTATTGGTTTTGGTTTTAACAGCTATTATGATTAAAGGACAAGCCAGGTGTGGCGGTGGAGGAAACTTGAGTACCCAGAGAAAAAGCAGCAACCTGCAGCCAGTACCAGGTGACTACCCAATAAATGCCTTAAACCATCGGCCGAGTGGTGGCGGGCTAGTGACTGACCATGGCTAAGTGGTGGAGGGCTAGTGAAACCACTCGGCCAAGGTGTCTAACAGACATCACTTACAACTTCGTTCATTTTTACTAAGTCTATAACATTCCTGTAAAAATGTTTTACACCTTAACTGATAAATGATAATCTCAACTGTCTGAGGGTCTGCAGTCTCCAATGTCTCCAATACTCTAAAGCTATATCAATTACCGTTACTATAACTGTATGGGTAAGTCTGCTTACCTATATACAATGTACCATTAACACTACCATTATTGTAATCAAAGCTTTTGTGGCCATCATGACATGAAATCCTTCGAAACTCCTAATTAAATTGACCACACAGTACAAATTATAATCATTAATAATTAACAGTAGTTTGTAAATTGAAAGAAAGTCACAATAAAAGTTGTACATCATATATAATGACCTGACAGAAAATTCTTCATCTGACGTTCCGCAGCTCCTCAGAATCCACAAAATACATGTAGGAAGAATAATGTCTCATCACATACACATTGGTAATTATAGGATCATAAACTTCCACCCCAAATATACTGGCAGAAACAACTGTAGAACTCGATTCTAAACATATGCAATACAGATGGTGTTGACAGATTATCAATGTATGCATATATATTGAATTATGACGTAAATGGTTACATTGTGTATATGATAACTTGAGAGGTTTCTATTTCGTACTAAATCCTCCTGGCTATAGGGTATTGTACGATGCACAGTAAGTATAATAATAGGATGGAGGTCTGCCAGGGGTTAGCGGTCACTGACTGGTCACAATTACGTCTCTCACATAGGTTTCCCAATGATGAAGTCACACAGAGGGCAATCACCACCAAATTAGAAACAATTGGTCCTAACGCCTTACATATCTCTAAATCTCAGACTGGAGGTATTGGCCAGACCAAATTTTTCAGACAATCTCCAAAGAACTATTAGCACATTAATTATTTTCATACTTCCATCTTTGTACGAGGAAAACTGACATTTGAACCAAATTTGCTTTAGTTTATTTTAAAAAAGAAAAGAAAAATTAACTTGTACACAATTCCTATCATAAATATCTTATATTCTAGTTCTCTACTCAATGCATGTCATATTGTAGTATTGCTGTTGGGTTAAAATCTACATATTCACACATTCAACTACACACAATATTACCTCATACAGGTATTACTTGCATGAATTGAGTGTATAATCAGATCATTATTATAAATCTGCCTGTAACTCCTCCTCACTAAAATAGATGGTACGTACATGTCACTTAGTGCTATTTATATACACCAAGTCATCGTGATCATGTCCTCTTTAAACATCTTTACAATACAAGAGTTGAGGCATCAGATGCAACTGTTTACAACAAAAAGCAGTGTTTTCCCAATCTGATCAAACACAGACCTTACGCTGGAGAATATCCTACTGGACTTTTCGGATCTACTTTTATAATCAGATTGTTTTTCCCAATCTACCGTGACGGAAATTGTAATTAGTGTGGCTAGCATTCACCTTGGTGTCCCCAAACTGTAAATATGGTCGACTGACAAACCAGCGTGGCCACGTCATGTGACAAGGGCGGCAGTCAATTAAAGAAGCAACTAGAGCGTGACAGAGTCGCGGTATCATACTACACATATTGTCATGGTAGTGAGAACTACCTAGTGTCATAAGGCAGGTATCGTACACAGGTAACAAATCCGACAGGTGTTGGAGTCACATTCTACAAGTACAAGTTAGGTACCTGAACACGGTAACCGTGGGTGGGTCTGGTTCAAGCTACCTGTGATGGGAGTTCTAATATAGGTTGTGCATGCATATGTGAGCTAGCTAACAGACATGCACAGCAGGACGCCCTCAGGTTTTTATTGTATTTCATATGTAGCATGTAGCCCTTTTTTGTAGTTATCTATATTGATCAACATGTCCTTTTTTACCTGTCTTGTGTTATTTTTAACATATGTGAAAGTTTCATGGCAGAACACTGTAAAAGGTGTGAAAAATTAGGGAAAACATATAGTCTATATAGTTTATTATTTTTCTATATTTTTGTCCCATATATATATATTCCACCATATAGTTTTCCATATACAAACAGTTTTTGTGTCTACATCAGTGCCTGCAAACTAGGGAAACATAGCCTAAATAATACAATTATTTACACATGCAAAGTGTATACATTGAATAAACGTAGCAAATTAAGGTTGTCCACCATTGGTTTGGTTTATAGGGTTAAACATCCTATATGTGCACATGCAGGCCAACTGATCAGGAAGCATATGCTGGTGCACATGCATTGCCTCCTTGTAATAGCTAGTGCAG